ATAGATGGATGCATGGAAGAAATGAAGGAAGGAAAGAAAGAAAGGAAAAAGGTAAAGGAAAGAAGCAAGGAAGGGGAAGGAGAATAGAAGGATGCATGAAAGAAATGAAGGAAAGGAAGGAAGGAAGGAAGGAAGGAAAAGTGACAGGAAAAAAGGGAGGAAAAAATACCAAAATACTGAGTGGGGAACTCTGGGAATTGAAGTCCACTCATCTTAAAGTGTCCAAAGTTGAGAAATACACCCTTAAAAACATTTAGCAAGCGCTCACCAATTTTGCTGGTTGGGATGCACTTTTTCTGGGCCGGATCGTACGTGGTGGAGGCTGGGCAGGCACAGTGGAAACTGCCCCGAGTGTTCTCGCAGCGTCCATTCACACAGTTGGACTCGTCCAAACACTCATCCACGTCTAGGACAGAAGAGAGAGAGTAGGAACTCACAGCCAGGAGTCTCCAGATTGACAGAAAAGCCCGGGATCCCAAATGCTAATTCACAAAGCCTCAAATTAGAATTACAGCATCTTTCTCCTTTATAATTACAGGTGATCCTCAACTTATAACCATTCAATTTAGTGGCCCTTCAGAGATACAACAGCACTGAAAAATGTGAATTATAACCAGTTTTCATATTTAACAACCATTGCAACTTTCTCAGGCCACAGGAGGCTCACATGCGTTCCTCAGCATGCCTCTCCCTAGGTATCTACTAATCCCCCCCCTCCCCATTTCTGAATGGCTGGCAACTCGTAAAGCATTCCTAAGCCTGTTTTTGAGTTGCCATAAACAAGGGAGAATCTGAAGGAGCATCACGGCAATTTAAAATCAGAAGTACATTCCACCCTTATCTACAAAGATTGTAGCTGGGCTACCGGATCTTCTGCCCATGAAAATCTTTCATTGGAGAATGTGATGGATGACACCCGGCCCGTGAAGGTGCTTCATTGGAGAATCTGATTTATGATACACCCAGGAGGGAGGGAAGAAACACAGTCACAGGTGACTGTAAATTATGTATGCCAGAGTTGGCTTCATTTGCTCCTAATAAATCTTTTGAATTTTTTTAAGCTTGGTTCGAGCCTCATGATTTAATGAGGGCAATCGCCGGAACCCTGACAATGGCAAGTCAGCTCTGATGGCCTGACTCTTCCTCTGTTGCTACTCAGAGGTCAAAATTACTTCCCGTTCTGGGCTTCCCTTCCTACCGACACACTCCAAGAGGTTGGCATCGTAGTAGAAGCCTTGCTTGCAGTAACACTCGTAGCCCGGCTGGGTGTTTACACACTTCCCTTCCTTGCAGATCTCTTCGCCAAACAGGCTGCATTCGTCAATGTCTGGAGAGGAGAGGGAACAAGAAAGAGGAAGAGATGGAAAGCAGGGGAGGAAGAAAAGAAAGGAATGAAGAAGGAGTGAGATAGGAGCAGGAACAGGAAAAGGAGGACAGGAGGAGGTGGAGGAGGAGGAGGAGGAAAGGAAGAAGGAAAAAGATAGTGGAAAAGGAGGAAAAAGACAAAGAGATGAGGACAACAACAGAACAAGAGAAGACAGACAAGAAAGGAGATAAAGAAGGAAGAGAAGGAGGAAGTGAAGAAGAGAAGAAAAAAGACAGGGGTTGAGAAGGAAGAAGAAGAGAGATGAAGAGATGGAAACCAAGAAGGTGAAGAAGGAGCAGGAAGAGGAGGAGGAGGAAAAGGAGAAAAGAGGGAGGGAAGAAAACATATGAAGGTGGAGAAGGAGGAAAAAGAGACAAAGAAATGGAAAACAAGAAAAGAGAAGGAGAAGACATACGTGAAAGGAGATAAAGAAGGAGGAAGGGAAGAAGGGAAGAAAAAAGACAAGAGAGATGAAGAGAAGGAAAACGAGAAAAGAGGAGAAGGAAGAAGGGAAAGGAGATGGAGGAGGAAGAGAAGAAGGAAAGGAAGAAAAGAAGAAGAAAGTGATGCCAGAGGTGAAAAGGAAGAATGGAAGGAGAAGGAAGAGGAGTAGAAGGAGAAAGAGAAGAAGGAGAAAGAGAAGAAGGAGAAAGAGATGAAGGAGAAAGAGAAGGCCATTAAACAAAATGCCACAGGGGTCTTATGGCCAACCCCGAGATGTAACCATCCCCACATCCTGCTTTGATGGCCACGCCGAGAAGACCAGAAGCACCTCCAGGCCCAGAGCTGCTCCCCTTTGTCCGGCTTCCCCGGAGGGGGGCGAGTAGACGCTGCCCCCCCTCTGCTCCCACCAAGGCCGCCTCACAAGGCCTCCCTCCTCCGTCCTTCAGGGCCGAGCGCCCCCAAAATTCACCTCGATGCGTTGGGATGCCGTAGTTCAGGATGGTCTCATCCAGGATGAATCCTTTGCCATCTGGGCACAGAGTGTGGAACTCAACTGGTCCAGGGAAGGAAGAAGAGACAGCGGAAGGTCAACTCACGATTCTGGAATAGTATAGGAACTCCTGCTTGAGCATGGGGCTGGACTAGAAGACCTCCAAGGTCCCTTCCAGCTCCATTCGGATTGATAGCCACTGTGCCACCACAGCTCTTGAGGAGTTACGGATGCTCGGACATTGGAGGTTTTTAAGAAGAGATTGGACAGCCATTTGTCTGAAATAGTATCAGGCTTCCTGCCTGATGAGAGGGTTGGACTAGAAGACCTTCAAAGGTCCCTTCCAACTGTTATTCTCTCATTCTGTCTCAAGCTGAGTTTGGAACAAGGATGATTTTCTTTTCTTTTTTTTTAATCTTCTCTATATATGAAAGCGAAAGGCCCCTCACGCATCATCACAACATCTCCAGAACTGTAAAGCCTACAAACTTGAAATCTGGCACCTATGTTCCTCTTGGCTTCTAGGTGCTCACTAAGAAAGGATTCTTCGAAATGACCATCAGAGCATTTAGAGTATTTCCTATATTATAATAATAATTATTATTATTCACGTGTTCTGATGCTAAGCTGTTCTACTCCCCATCCCTGCCTGGAAAGAAATCTCTTCCAAATGCAAAACACAAGCAGAGGAGAGGAGTTTCAGTTTCCGTTTTAGTTTCACAGCACCAAACAGCTTTAGTACAGGACAGTTGAGCTAAGCCATGCCCAGGCTCCTTGCTGTCTCCTTGTTCATAGAGCAAATACTCTTTCAGTTTCCAAACAGCCCTCAACTGACAGGACGCTAGTCAGGTGAATACTGATGGATGCTAGTAGACAGAGGCAGAATTCCCCCCCCCTTATTTCCTCCCCCAAAAACTAAGCCCAACCACATAGTTTCGTAGCGAAGCACCGGTATCCAGCTAGTACAATAATACAAGGATAATTTTCAAATTTACTGAGAATCGGACCCAGGAGATGCCCAACTTACTCGAGTTGAGAACAGGACACGGGTAGATCTCGCAGTGGTCTCCCCAGCCGGCCCCCAGGGAGCAGCAGCACTCCTGGCGAGACACGTTGGTGGCTAGCACGCTGTCGCAAAACACGCTGTCATCGAAGTTCAGGTAACACTCCTTCTTATGGTGGGGCAGCTCTGCCAGGGGAAAGGTTCAACTCCGTTGTCGGGAATTCACCTCCGGCGGTGTCCCCACCTCACACACACACCCCCGCCCCTTCGCGCTCTCCGCTTTACCTTCGCAGCTCTGCCGGTCTTTGGCGAGCGTGAATCCTTCCTCGCATATGCACACGAAGGAGCCCTCGGTGTTCTCGCACACCCCGTGCGGCTGGCAGAGGTCAAGATCTCGGGCACACTCGTCGATATCTGGGGAGGCACAGTGGGGTGTTTGGGGCAGGAAGAGAAAACTGCTCCTACCTTGGGTTCCGGGGTGGGCTTCCAACATTTTAGCAATGGGTCCTCTGCTTGGTTGCTGGGTGGGCGTGGCCACGGTGGGTGTGGCTTAGCCGGCCTCCTGCACCATGGTGGGGAGGGGGGGGGCGTTTTTGCCCTCCCCACGCTCCGGAGGCTTTCCTTGAGCCTCCGGGAAGGTGAATCCTGCTGGGATCCCCGCAGCTTTTGCAGACAGTTTTGTACCAGACGATCCTGACACACAGAACGGATCATCCATGGGGAACAGGTGATCTCATGGTCCCATCGGGGCCTGTTGTGGTTCGCCGGCAGCCGGTGCAGACAGCAGCGGAATTGGACAGTGGGGAAGAACGGGGACCAGTCCGGGAGTCTGGGGAGGACTCGGACGAGGGTCCTGCCTCCGATGCGGAGATGGGGCCAGGGCCACCTGGGAGTGGGGTGCTGACTCTGGAGCCTCCGGAGTCTGGCAGCGGTGAGGCCGAGGAACAAGGGGAGCCTGTTCCCAGTGCGCTTTTGCACAGAGCTGCTAGAAGGCCAGAGCAGCTGAGACAAAAGGGGCGACTTGGGAGTAAGGCTGGGAGGTGACTGCCCCTCCCAGAAGGTATAAAGGACAGGCAAAGGTAGGAAAACCTTTGCAGGAAGCAAAGTCATTCGCTCTGTTCGGATTAATCCTTGAAGCTCTGTGTGGATTTTGTACTTTGGTCAGTTTTTTATAATTCATCTGGCACTCTAGTTGTTGGCAGCAATTCCAAGGAGAGAAAGGTGGGTGCTTATCTCGAGGGACTGTTTGGGACTCATTACGGGCTGGGAATGAACGTAATCCCCAGAGTTGAAATAAAACAGGAATTGTTTTAACTGAGCATGTGCTTAATTACAGTCTCGGAAGCCTTGGTAATGAACAGGGTCCTGGTTTGGAGGAGGAAGAGGAGAAGTTGGACCGGAGACTGTCTGACAGGGATGGCAGGTGTTGTCTCCTTTGGCAATGTCTGGAGAGGCCAGGGACTGAGGACAAGTCTGTCCCAAGCCCCTCGGGCATCTGACCAGACGGAGAGCTGGCTGCCTTCACAGAGCGGGTGTGTGTGTGTGTGTGATTGGCTTCTGACAGGCAGTGGGTGTGATGACCCGTAGTCTCTCAAAATAACCCCAAAACATACATTAAAGTCTGGCAATGCCTTCAACGTAACTTCACTGTTTTATTAGGCACAGTTTAAAGTCACAAAAGTAAATAATGAGGCCAAAAGAAAACCAAAACACAAACCAAGATAATTAATCATACATTCCAGGAAGATAACGGGGAGAGTCCATGGGACTCAAAGATAAGTTTATCTACCAACAAAGATAAACCTCTTTCAAAGGAAACACTAAACTTTGACTCCAGCAATTCTGACTACGCAGTTACAAACTTATATTCCTAGCTCCCAGCTGCAAGCCACGAGGAGGATCGTGGTAATCTCCTCCTGAGTAGAGCTCACTTTTCCCTGATCCTCTCCTCCCTGCGTGCCCTAGGATGGAGAGGGGATGGGCCTGGGTCCTCCTCTGCCTGCTCAGCCGGCCTCTGCCCTTCCCCGGCCTCCTCCACCACCTCCGGAGCCCACACTCCCGCTCCCTGTCGGCTGTTCCTCCTCACCCTCAGAGTCAGCCTCCCCCAGGGGCAGGGCAGTGGGTCTGATAGGTAGCCGATCCCCCTCGGATGAGGAACAGCTGCCTCCCTCACGGATCTGAGGAGGACAGAGCTGAAGCGAGCCCAGAGAAAGGCTGCGAGGCTATTCGGGAGAATCAGCCAGTTGCAGCAAGTGGTTTGCTTTTTAAAAAAAATTCATTTGCACGCCCTTCTTTGCACACTTGGCTGTTCTCACACGCTCAAGAGAGTGGAACATCTAGCAATCTCTTGAACTGGCTAGGGTTAAACTGTGATGAGGTTCTTGGAGGCTTAATCTGCTGTGTGAATCCAGTTTGGTTACTTCAGGGGTCCCCAAAGTTGGTAACTGTGTGGACTTCAACTCCCAGAATTCCTCAACCAGCTGGCTGAGGAATTCTGGGAGTTGAAGTCCACAAGTCTTCAAGTTGCCAAGGTTGGAGAGCCCTGCTCTAAAGGCCGGACTTGGCTTGTCCACCTGGGTCCTAACAGGTGAGCTGGGCACACCTTGAATCACGGATCAGGTGCCCCTTCTACAAAAACATGGGGCTCCCTTCTGAGCCCCCAACTTGCTGACGAGGGAGACGGGAGGCGAGCTCGCTCACGCGGACACACCCAGAGACACAAACCTTGGCACTTTCGATTCCTCTCCAACTGGTATCCAGTCCGGCAAAGACACTGGTAGGAGCCCACCGTGTTCACGCACTCGCCCCCAATGCAGGCAGCGGGGAAGTCGCATTCGTTCACATCTGGAAGGGCAGAAAGGGTCGGATAAAATAAAATAAAATAAAAACGATGGGGCAGGGATGGCAAGTTGGTCTAAAGTCATGTTTTCTAGCCCAGAGGCTAGTGGGAATAATCTCAAATTGACAGGTGCAGTTATAAAGCTGGTCAGGATTGATCCTCAGGAAGTGGCAGAGAACTCTGCACATGCTTCCTGGCACTCTTATCTCTCATGCTACTTGTAAGAATGCTCAGTCATAGCCACATCTCAGCCCCCAAATCAATCACTCTGTCCTCCATTCATTCATTCTATTCATTCTATTCATTCATTCATTCATTCATTCATTCTATTCATTCATTCATTCTACTCTCTCATTCTGTCTATCTGTCTATCTATCTATCTATCTATCTATCTATCTATCTATCTATCTATCTATCTATCATCTCTCTCATTGTCTGTCTATCTATCTATCTATCTATCTATCTATCATCTATCTATCATATATCTATCTATCATCTCTCTCATTGTCTGTCTGTCTATCTATCTATCTATCTATCATCTATCTAAATAAATTTATATGCTGCCCAGTCATTGGAGCATATAAAATTAATACAATGGGATGGATTGGAATAGAATGGAATAATAATAAAACAGAATAATAATAGAATGGATTAGAGTAATAGAATAGAATAATGATAGAATGAAATAGAATGGAATGGAATAGAATAGAACAGAACAGAACAGAGGAAAATAGGATAGGATAGGATAGGATAGGATAGGATAGGACAGAACAGAATAGAATACCGTGTTTCTCACAAAATAAGGCCGGGGCTTATTTTTTTTTGATCCCCGAAAAAACGGCTAGGCCGTCTTTTCGGGGGTGACTTAATTCCCCCCCCCCTGCATCCTCGGGTGGGTGGGCGGCAACAGCCTGGCGCTGGGCAGAGTTTGAAGAGCTTCGCCTGGGGCACCCAGAGCAGCTGACAGGCGGGCCCTCCTCCCCGGAGGCAGAGCTCTCACTAAGGCAGCGAGCGCCTCCCTGCCGGGCCCTCCACTCATCCCACCAGGGCCACGCCGGAGCCGTGTGGCCTGGGCAGAGCCAGGAATGCGAGTGGGTGCGTGTGCCCACGGCTCGCTTTCCCAGCGAAGAACTCTGCCCGGCGCCAGGCAGGGATGGCAGCTGGGCGCTTCTCCCGAGGTGGGCCGATTGTGCGCTGCGCCCCCGGGAGATTTGCCTCCCCACGTGGGGTTGGGCTGCCCTCTCGGGCAGGGGAGGCTTTGTTGTAGTAGGGCGTCGCTTTTAAAGCATTGGCTTTGCCTTCGAAGGCAAAGGGAAGGCGGCGACAGGAGCGCCTGAAGCCAAGTGTCTCCGCAGGGCTCCGGTTGCAGGGAGGAGCCCTGACTGGCCGCGCATGGCTGCGCCAAACGCCGCGGCGTTGCTCTAAACGCTGCAGCAGCAAGGGAGAAGGGAAAGCAACGGTGGCGGAAGGTCTCCCGATACGAAGTGCCCCACCAACGCAGGCAGCACCATATCCGGGCATGCAACAAAAGTACTTCCTAACAGCAAGGCCCCCCCTGCCATTCCCCCCCATTTCGCATGTTTAATATGGGCCTTAATTTGGGGGGAGGAGCTTAATTTGATTTTATGCCAATAAAACATGGTGGGGCTTCCTATTGGTGGAGGCCGTATTGTTGGAGAAACACGGTATTTAAATAGATTTGGTAGCTAAAATGTGGCCGAGATTGAGCATTTTAATCCTTGCTGCTCTCTGAGCTGGGTGATTTCCTTGCAGACATTTTATTACCCGATTAGGTATTGCCATCGGTGTGAGGGGGTGTGAGGTTTGCTGCCCATTGCAGTGACTTGACCTGCCAGTATTGGTCTGCGTTTGTTTGCGTTTCCTCATTGGCGTTGCCTTAATTAGAATTTTTTGGGTTCCTGCCTGTATTGAAACCTTCTGGATATGCCCACGTGCCCATTCACACAGCCCTCCCTTTTCCCTAATCTCAGGAGAATAGACAATTTACGCCAGTGTTTACCAGATTTAGCAGCACTAAGTCGTGTGGACTACAACTCCCAGTATCCCCCAGCCGATCATGCATGCTGGCCAGGGAATTCTGGGAGTGGAAGTCCACACATCTTAATGTCGCTATACACTGGAGAAACACTGAACAGAATCTTGTATTCTATTTAATCTTTTTCAATCGAAACGCCGGCCCCAAATTTTATTCACACAACCGACGGCTTCAGAGGCTCGGAAAACGCAGACAGACGAGCCTTCTGCACATGCTCAAAAGTTCTCTTTCCCCCGCCACAAAGAACGCTTCCCAGGAGTTCGTTGCAAGACCCTTGGTTTCCCTCTCTCACCTTTGCAGCGTGGCCCGTCCTTCACTGCCTGGAAGCCCACCGGGCACTGGCACTTAAAGGACCCCAGCGTGTTCACACAAACTCCGTGGGCGCACAGCGAACCGTTCTGGCACTCGTTGACATCTGCGGGAAGAAAAGAAGAATTAATCCCATTCTGCTTCGTGGCCTTGCAGAAGCGGGGAGGGGGGACTACTGCTCCCATAATCCTTTGCCCATCGTGGCTGGGGAGGAGTGGGAATTGGAGCCAACCAAGGAAGTCTTAAAGACACAGGAGAGAATTTGGGTGTTTGACTATGTGAATCGGGGGCCATTTCCTCCCAACAGCCCTGCGAGGGAGGCCAGGATGCCGAGGCTGCCAGTTTAGTAATAGAATAGAATAGAATTCCTTATTGGCCAAGTGTGATTGGACACACAAAGAATTTGTCTTGGTGCATATGCATAATAAATAAAATAAGCATAATAAACCCCAAACTCTAAGAGCGTGGATTGAAGATGGCCAACTGATGAGTAACTCAGGCAGGGTCCCCTTGAAGGGGCTTACTCAGGACGGCCCCCTTTTTAATTTAGTAACAGAAGGATCAGACATTTTTTTAGATTATATCAGGGGTCCCCAGTCTTTGGGCCGCAGCCCACAAGTGGGCCGTGTGGGGTTTGCAACCAGGCTGCAGAAATGCCCAGCAACAAGCACACACGCTGACGGCAGACTCAAGACAGTGAGGAGGTTGGGTTGGGGAGGAACATGGGCCGGTTCTGGACGCTGAGGAAGGCTCGGACGAGGGCTCTGCGTCGGAGGCAGAGATGGGGCCAGGGCCGTCCGACAGTTATCAGCTGCCTTCGGAGTCGGACATCAGTAAGGCAGAAGAACAGCTGGAGCCTGTTCCCAGGGTGCGCATGCGCAGAACTGCCAGGAGAAGGGAACAGTTAAGGAACAAGGGTCGACTCAGGAGTAAAGGCACAGGTGGCCCCTCGAATAGGGAATAAAGAGGAGCGAAAGGGGAGTGGGGTTTGCAGGAGACAATTAGTTCATTTAATGAAGGTGAAGATATGTTCCTGACTCCTTGCCAAGTATTGTCTGCTACAGCCTGGCGTTTGGAAGCTATCGGCCTGGCAACTCTCCAAGCCTGATAAAGGTCTGTGATTGTCAATCAACTTTGAAAGATTGTTTTGCCAGGACTTTGCTGGATGTGAACGAGAGGAATTCACATTAGCCTAAATAGAAGGTTTTTTTGTCGGGACGAGGGGTGTGCTTCGTGATATTGGGAAGCCCGGGTCAGAACATACGCCCTGACCTGTGCAAGCAGCGGACGCACTCCATTTAAGTCAGTGCCAGGTATACATGCCCGCTGCTTGTGCAAAGGGGAGCTGCATGCGTGCAGCCACTTGCACACAACCATCCCCCAAGCCCCAAGCCAGTCCACCAAGCCGAAAACACTGGGGAATTCTGGTGTACGGATTCCCCTTGGTTAAGGGTCCAGCAAGGTCTCCCGTGCTTCGAAGCTGCCGGTTTAGCCACGAGGCTTCCGTCGTTGGAAAAACAGCCCTTTGGGGATTTTACTTTTCCCCCACAGACCGAGAGGAGTTTTTCTGCATGGGGCGTGGAAAGGGATTTACCGACACAGCTGCGGAAATCAGCGGCCGGCACGAAGCCTTCCCCGCAGGAACAGCGGAAGGAGCCGGCCAGGTTCTCACACCAGCCGTGTTTGCAGGCCGTGTCCTCGGTGCACTCGTCCACGTCTGGGGG